GGACTGGTCATGCAACACAGAGCACCTGTATAAAAAAGCCCAAAGCCGACTGTACTTCCTCAGGAGGCTGAGGTCTTTTAACATCTGCAGGAAGCTCCTGAGGATGTTTTACCAGTCGGTGGTTGCTGGAGTACTTTTCTATGCTGTGGTGTGCTGGGGGAGCAGCACAGCAAAGAAGGACTCATCCAGGCTGGAGAAACTGATCAGGAAGGCTAGCTCTGTGGTCGGCATGAAGCTGGACACTCTGGTGACAGTGGCAGAGAAAAGGACATTAAAGAAACTGCTGGACATTATGACAATGCTGGGCATCCTCTGCACACGGCCATAAACAATCAGAAGAGTCTGTTCAGTGACAGGTTGCTTCTCCCCAAGACAAGAACTAACAGACTTAAAAACTCCTTTGTCCCACACGCCATCAGACTGTTTAACTCCTCTCTGGAGGGGAGAGGGAGGGGAAACAGGAGGACAAAGGAGGGGGGAACAACTAAGCTGTAGTGCCTCTTCACCTCACTGTACAATACTTGTGCAATACTTTTGTAAATAGTCAACAGTGCAATAGACTCAATACTTGAAATGTGCAATTCACTTGATTATTTTTTATTCCTATTTATTCTATTTATCCCCTTCGTATATTTTATTTATATTGTCTCTGTATTTATATATATGTGTGTGTGTGTGTGTGTGTGTGTGTATATATATATAATATTCTGTAACTCTGTAACTTCTGTCGGTGCTGTGCTTTTTTGGAAATCGAATTTCCCAGAGGAACCCACCCGAGGGATTAATAAAGTTCTATCTAATCTAATCTAATGTTTAACACAGCATCTTTCACTTGTGAATTTAACGTGTTTTTCCTCCTATTTTGAAAGTCTCCAAATGCTCCCCAAACGATTCATATCGCCCTTTATGGCACAATGTAAACAGAACTCCAAGGCTTCCCTATGTTGGGATTATCGTGTGTCACTTCAGTTCATCCAGTCAAAAATTTAAAACATGCACACAATGCAAAAGCGTCTTAAAATGCTCGTACACCATGCAAGGTACTTTTTAGCTGGTGAACCTCTGCTATATCTGCAGAATCTGCAGAATTGTTTATATCAATGAAGCAAAATCTGAGAAGATAACGAGGCAGACCTGATGCATGCATTCCTTGTATCAAAACTGTGCGCCCCATCAGTTATTGTGAAGCATCTTTTTAATGCCCATTTTATATTAAACAGTTATAATCTATTTAGAATGTAGTCTTGATTTATGAGCTTAAATAAGGGGACGAACGTGAATTCCTTATTTCTGCCTTTTTCTGCCTTTTTGTTAAAACTTTGCTCACTCTAGGAGATTTTCTTTCTTTCTTTGCTATTATGTATCAGTGAAACTTGAGAACCACATAAACAATGTATCAAACTATGATTCGTGAGTTTCCTGTAACACATGGATGAATAGGATTGGCATGACAAAAAGCAAAACAAAAAACAGTTCATGTCTCTCAGTTACTGTCTTTCTTGTACAGTACAACAAGAGGACAAAACAAAATAGTCACAGTGAGACTAAAAGAGAATAGGTTGATCTCAGGCTGACCTCAGTTTAAGTGCAGAGTCCTGGAATCCAGGATTACTGCAGGAGCTTTGCCAAAGATTTAATTTCAGCTCTTTAATGGAGGAGATAAAAGATAGGAGGGGGTGTAAGCAAAGGAGAGAGACACAAGGAAGGAAAGCAAAAGAAAGGGGCACCATATCGTTGCACATCTCCACAGACTGTTGAGCTGACACGGATCTCCGCAGCAAGACAGGAGGGAACACTTTGTACTTATTTTTCAGGTCAGTCAGCACTGAGCACCATATGAATTAGCAACCCCCCACTCCCCCCCTCTCTCTCATTTCAAAAAGGCTGAATGGAAAGCTCCACCTGCAACACCAACAGTGCTCCACATTCCTGCAGTAGTATTTCCTGCATTTTATGTGGACTCAACAGTTGCATAACTGTTTTTCATAACTGCTCCGGCATGTTTTGCACACTTCAGTTCAGCTGGGCTCCCAGGGGTTATAATGGGAAGTATCAAAGTCATAAAAACATGAACTCCAAAATGAATATTAATAAATGCTAGCGATTTGCAAGCCCTTAATGTTCAATTTTCTTTACATTTTGCCCTTTATGCTGAAAGTGGTAATTACGTCTGTTTTATTTTTTAATCTGTTGAATGGGTCAGCTGTCCTTATATGCAAACCTTAATCATAAAGATGTTATGAATCAGCAGTCTCTGTCAATGGTGAAAGACAAGTGGTTCGTTCAATCACTTGAACATATATAAACCGTATTTTTCGGACCATAAGGCGCACAGGATTATAAGGTGCATTAAGCGAAACCAAACAGTCAGATAAGTCAAACTTTACTTAAATCATTCTTCTTGCTTCCTCCACGTCCGCACCATTGATTCATTAATGTTGAATTCTCTCACAGCTGCTCTATTCCCATGTTGTTGCAGTATATTAATGACTAACCTTGTATTGTGGATGGATTATCTCAGTTGTTCTCCTGACTGAAGTTTGGTCCGTTTACAGCATCCTGCCATGCAGATTGCATTTGTCCCTAACCATCGGGAACCCTCAGGTTAACTTTTATCGAGTGGAAAAAAGTTAGCGTTCATCCTTCAGCTTCATTGTGTTTATGTTATGCTAACACAGCTGTGTCGCTAGCGATTACATAGCACATCATTATATACCAGCTAGCCCAACTTAAGTAACCCTACAAAATTCACTGCTGTTTAGTTTCCTGTCTTCATTTATGTTGAAAGTGACAGCAGAGCTGCACATTTGCATTTGTTCAGAAATCTCTCAGTCAGAACATGCTATATTATGTTTAGGTGGAAACTAGCGAGCTAACTTCCGCTAGCTTCTAACTCCATTAAATTTAATAAATTCTGTTTTCATGGGTCCCTGGATGTTAAATGGGAGGCAGCTAAAGAATTTAGACCACTTTTAACTCTCAGTGATGGCACAATATCCCTTTGACTTTATGACCTGAAGCGGAATTTGGACCCAGATGACTCCGCGAGGCTCCTGACTATGGTAGTAGTAATGGTCCGACAACCCATCAGGTGGTGCGGCTTCGTAACTTACCAAAGTCGTACTAAAACATTTTTTGACATATTTTGTGCCGTGTACCACATAGATTGGTTCAAGGTCAGTAAACACAACCAGAATTCATACATAAGGCGGACTGTCAATTTTTGAGAAAATTAAAGGACTTTAAGTTCGCCTTATAGTGTGAAAAATACTTTTTTTCCCTTATATTTCCAGTTTCTGATTAAGTGTCTGAGTAAGAACCGCTAAAGTGGAACCATAAAAACAGCAAAAAAAGGAGTTTGCATAGTTATCTATGTTGTATTTTGTGTAGTTATTTATGGTTGTGTATTTGATTCTACTGGAAGTCTACGTCCTAACTTACAACATAACTGGAAATGACTCATAACTCCACACCGCAATCTTCCACACCATCCACGTCAGTGTTAGGTGAGTCAACTCAACGTGTAGTGACATGTCTTGGGAGGTGCAGGTTACGGCACGGGTTAAAAGATGTTTTCTGGTTACGTCATCTTTAATAGCTCGAATTTGACTAACAACAACTAGTGTATCACAAGAGTTTTGTGCTGGCTAAATGTCAAAGGTATTAGGATGAAAAGCCAAATGACTTTTAAAAAAGTTACGTTTATTTTTACAGAACACGTTTCTTTGTTTCTTGGAAAGAATATTAAAGTAAATGACAGTCTTCTAATAACTGGTATGGGTCTCTTCAGTGTGTTAAGGTTTGTGTGTACTTGTTTATGCACAGCTCTCTCAAAGTCCTGCCACTGAATTTGCTGCTGCGCTTAGGATCATTTCCTGTTGTATGATCCAGTTTCAGCCAAGCTTTAAGTGTCAGACAGATGGTGTTATTTCTGACTTTAGAATACTTTGGTATACAGAGAAGTTCATGGTCAGCTCACTAACTGCAAGATGCCAAGGTCGTGTGGCTACAAAACAAACCCAAATCATCACCCCTTCACCACCATCCTAAACATGTGGTAATGCTGATATGCTGTGTTTGGTTCTTGACAAACATGAAACTGTGCATTATGGGCAAAAATCTCCACTTTGATGGCATTTTTCCTAAAGTCTTGTGGTTTGCTCAGATGCAGTTTGCAAACCTAAACCATGCTGCCATGTTTTTGTGTTTTTTTTTATAGTCAAGCAGCTTTCTCCTGGCAATTCATCCAAATAAACCATACATGTTTGGATGGAACAAAAGCTTGTTCCATGAGCTTTAATATTTAACAATGCGAACAATGCGAGGCCTGCAGAGTCTGAGATGTAGCTCTTGGGATTTTTGCTGTTTCTTTGAGCATTTCACAATCCGGTCGTGGGGTGAATTTGTGGTGATGTCCATCCTTTGTGTTCGCACACAATTGAAGGCTTCAGACCTGCAAAATGCAAAAACTTTTACTTTAGTAAAGGTGGTCACACCATAACACTGAGAATCAGTTAATCAAGTGCTTTTCATTAGCAGCAACTGGGTGCTAGATTCCTATGTAAATGTTTTTCACCAGACTATGACATGAAAATTCAGTCAAATAAAAAATGTCACATTTGTTATTAAGAAAAGCCAATAAAGGCTTTTAAAAATAGCACATCAGTGAGTTTGCTTTTGCTTTTAACTCCAGTATATATACAAGTAGAAGCCTCTGTGTCCTGTTGTAGCATTAAAGAAATATACATGGGATTGTACTTTTAATCGTATATTTTTGTGAGCTCTATATTATAAAACATGACTACTGAAGATCATGTAAGAGTTCCAGTCAGTATACTGTGCCAAAGTTCTGTCCTGCTTGGGTGTGATCTCATTATGGCCTCATTGGCAGGCTGTTAATATACACAGTTTGCATGGGTGAATGTCAGGTCACAGCACTGAGTTAGAAAGGTTTCCTCATGCCTCTCTTTGTGGATGTTAATTGGTGCTCCAGTCAGCCGGGGGCAGCTCTCCGCCTGCTGTCCAATTGGGGAAACTGGAATTTTGGCCAGACAAGACACGGTTGTCCCTCTCTTCCTCTGTCAGTCTTTCTCATAATTAACTTGCACTCAGTCGTTACTTCAAATAGACAATTTGGCATTAAAGTGATGAAGACAGAGAAGGACAGACTGTGTCGGAGAGCAGGACAGAGAAGAATGGTGAGGCTGCATTTTAAAATGTGATAATAAGTTGGCAGTAATGTTACAGTTCTGAATGTCTCTTCAGCTTCAATCATTTTTTTCTATTAAGCACTGATTTATTTCAATCTGAATAAGAAATGACTTGAATCTGTTTGGAGAAAAAGTAAAGATATTACATTTTTATTCATTTTGAACACTTTGAAAAGTATTGTTAGTAGGGATGGGTATTGATAAGATTTTCACGATTCCGATTCCATTTTCGATTCTGTTTAATGATTCGATTCTTTATCAATTCTCTTATCGATTCTTTTTAAAAAGGAGAACTCTAAGGTTGATTAGCTTGGAACTTTGTTTTACATCTTCTCTTTGAACAAGATAGAAATTTAGGAGTAACATGGCCTTACAAACCCAACAGTGAGATCTTAAGAGATCCACAGCCTACGGCTCTTCAATGGGGTGTCACAGGGCCCCCAGGGAGAAAAATTGTAGCAATAACAAAGTATAACATAAATTATTCTGTAGCAATTACACAAGAATATCCAGTAATGTCCCTGCCTACAATTAAACACATTCACTTACCAAAAATCGGGGGCATCTGCTGTGGCAAATGGGTGCAAGCCTTTGACCACAAACTCAGTCACTGCTCGGTGACATTCGTCTATCCTGCCTGAAAGGAGACGCTACCGGCAGACTGGAGCGAGAACTGCCAGCATCTGAGCCAGACTGTCTCTCTCATCATGGTCACCTAAATGCACAGTAATGGCAGGTTATATAAGGCAGATCGCACTAACATAATATGCACTGTTAGTTGATTATTTACCTGCCGCATTAACGGGAGAGGACGTGCAAACGTTACCGCTGCTGCTGGGTTGAGATTCACGAGTCCGGAGAGAATTAAAAACACGACATTCATTTAAGGTCATCACGTGTTTTGTGAGCAAATGCTTTTGCATATTCGTAGTGTTTCCTCCCTTAAATGAAATATCTACTTTTCAAGTATTGCAAGTTTCCCTGTTGTCATCCGTTCTCGTAAAGTATAACCAAACTTTTGAGCGTTTGAGCCGCCATGTTTCCTGCCAAGTAAATGACGCTCCGCAACGTGGTGACGTCATTCGGGGCGACTGGAATCGATAAGGGAATCGTTTGCAAAAATGGCAAACAACTCCAAGGAATTGAAACAGTGGGAACCGGTTCTCAACAACAACTACATCCGACACTGTGCATTGTGCTTGGTGATGTAAGGCTTGGATGCGATGCCATCTTGGAGGGCTGTAGTGACTGACGCTACAGGAAAGTTGGTAACCTCTGCGCACTGTGCCTCAGCATGTTCATTGATTTTACATGGCCTCCCACTTCATGGCTGTCATTCCCACTTGCTTCCACTTATAGCACCACTAACAGCTGACAGTGGAATATTTAGAAGTGAGGAAATCTCATGACTGGGCTTTTTGCACATGGCATCTTATCACGGTAGCACACTGGAATTCACTGAGCTCTTGAGACTGACCAACAAGTTCACAAATGTTTGTATAAACAGTCTGGTTGTGTAGCTGCTTGACTTTATACACCTGAGGCTTTATACATCTGCATACGTAAGAACAGCAAAATTTATACAAAAGGTTTTTGCTACCCAAAATTTTATGCTTTGACTTGTTTGTGCTTCCAGTAGTAACTACGGGCCAATTATGTTTTAGCAGGCTTTAGTTACAAGCATATGTACACTTTGGGTTGAGAGCAGAGGACATATTGAATTTGGCTAAATTCAATCTCAGAACTATAAAATAGCAGTCCCCAACCCCCGGGCCACAGACCGGTGCTGGTCCATGAGTCGTTTGGTACCGGGCCGTGAGAATTGAGGCTCGGGTGTGAAGTGCATGGTTTTCAGGGTTTTTATCAGTTTTTATCATTATTTTTTTAATTGTTTTTTTTTTCATTAACTCGGTTTCCCATATGCTATCAATAAATCTTTTTTAATACTGTTTTTATTTTGTTGTATTTACCTGCGACACCTGCGACACCTTAAAGGCCGGTCCAAATACTGTTGGACATAAACCGATCCGTGGCACAAAAAAGGTTGGAGACCGCTGCTTTAAAATACAAGATATTTAAAATACTATTTCAAATGCATCTGAATTCATACATAAAAGATAGTGGAAAAGAAACCAATACTTTGATAACCATGTCGTATTGAATACTCAAAAAATTATTAGTTGCCTTGGAACATAAGTCAACAGACTGCATCATGAGGTCCCAAACTGATAATAAATGCGTTATCTTCAGAGGACGTGATGTATGGTTAACTTCCTCAGTACAACTAGACTTGGCAGACATCTGTCCAAAGTCAGTCCAATATAAACCTGCAGGATTTTAATGCTTTCCTATTTGAAATTACTCTTACAGCTGAGGACAGAATTATTCACCCTATGATTTTTTTTATTAAGTATTTCCAAAGGAATTCATTTTTTAACACAGCCTTTCCAAACATCCTGGTTTCATTTTTGGATGCTTACATTATTTCACTTGCATGCACACAGAAACAATATCATTTCACAAAAAACAAAAACTACCAGGATTAAAACTATTAATCTCTCAATGGTACAGTAATAGTTTTTTCTGTATTCTTTCTGTACAGCCTGTAGTTTGTTTGTTGTAGTTTAAAAATGTCTCACAAAAAGTCTCATATACGTGTCCTGAGCAATACCAGCCTATTCTACTTTGAGAATTTCTCAGGCTTCTCCAGATTTGGTTGTCTTCTGGCATGAACATGGGTCTTCAGTTCACCCCACAGATTTTCAGTGGGATTAAAGTTAGGCCTTGCATTCTTACTTTGAGGTCGTTCTTAACCAGTAGCAGCACAGGTTTTGGGTCATTGTTGCATTGGAAGAGAAAGTGATGACCCAAAACCAGCTTTGCTGCTCACTGCTTGAGTTTTTCTTTCAAAGTCTTCACATATATCCTTCTTCACAGTCCTTCCACCTTGATAAAATTGCCCAGTTCCAAATAAACTGAAGCTACTCCCACCACCATGTTTTAGTCCCAGGTGTTCTTTGGGTTTCTCATCTCATCTGACCAGTAAACATAATCTTCTCCAAGCTGTCCTTAGTATACTTCAGACTGGCTTTAAGGTGTCTTCTGTAGAAGTGGACTTTTTCTTGATCAGCGACCTTGCGGTCCATTCTTGTGCAGGGTTCTAGTGATTGTTTTCTTTGAGACTTCATTTACCGGCTTGCGCAGGTCATTCACCACTAGTGATGGGATTTCCGACTCTTTTTAGTGAACCGGCTCTTTTGGCTCGACTCACTAAAAAGAGCCGGCTCTTTCGGCTCCCAACCGGCTCTTCAGGTTGTTTTGTTGCTTTAATTAATTTATTATTAACAATAATATAAAATTATGCACAAAAGGAATTACTAATGTAAAAAAAAGTTTATTTATATATGTTTATATATAAATATATGCAGTGGCCTCTTGAGACAAAGCACGTACAAACTCCAAAACACATTTCTAGCTTTAACTGAACTTCCAAAACAGAGCTACCTGGATCACTGAAATTACACAATTGAAAGCATATGTGCATGGTTTGTGTATTTATACACAAGCACTCATATATATTCAAATAATTTTAAAAAAATGTTCATTTACCTGTTACTACCACACACCAAATCCGGTCGTTGGTAATTCCTGGTTTGTGTAGCCACTATAACAAAAGCTCAACACTGCGCCTAGCATCCTGGAGCACTTCTGTTGTCTTTTGTACGTGTTTTAAAGTTTTTAGACATTTATTTATTCACTCCACATAAAATGTAATAAATAAATCATATAATACAAAAACCAATTTTTCACATTTCAGCTTTTAACAATTTAAATTTTCAGCTTTTTCCTTTTAAACAAATTTAAAGTGAAACAACACAAAACACTGCAAACCACAACACAATTAAATATAAATTATAATATGAAAACAAAAAGAAGATGCATATTCTCTGTCATATGGGGCTGCATGAATAAACTTTCTGAATCCTTTATCATCTGCAACTGAAAATAGTTGTGGATGATTACTATACCTTTCTAATGTGACATTGTTGTCCCTGGCACCCTGGCTGAGTGTAACCACCGCCCCACTGCCCAGCGCAAAGCGCAAGGCTCGCGTGTGGAGTGAAGCGGAAAAAAGTGCGAGAGAAAGGGTGAGAGAAAGAAAATAAAACCCATAAGGAGCCGGCTCGCGTCATTCACGTCAAAGATATGGCTCTAAGAGAGTTTCGTTTGCGACCGACGCATCACTATTCATCACTGTGACAGTACTTGTTCTATCTGTATGGCGCTCTTTGTATTTCTTGATGACACTTCTTACTCCAGTTCTTAACAGTTGAAAATGCCATGAAAGCTTTGTATATCCATCTCCTGCTTTGTCAGCATCAATAATAATTTTTCTCAAATTTAGACTGACTTCTTTTGTTTTTGGCACAATGCTTTCTGAAGTGACAGCTCAAACCTTTGCTGAAGTTTTAATATGTTTAAAGCTGTTGTGTTGAAAATCCCTTGTGCTCAGTGTTTCCTTTTATGCTCAGGAATTGCAACGTTTTGAGTGATCAATGCACGAACCTTGACTGAGAGCAGAGCCAGGAGCACAGTACTAATCATGTCTGCTCTTTTTGTTCTTTGCCAGAACAAGAAACACAAAACATAATGTTCAGAGCTTTTGAAGCACATGTTGTTGTGATACTTAGTCATATTAGAGTTTAATCACGTGTAATTTTCATTTGTTATACACCTCAAACATACATGAAGAAACAGAAGACACTGAGATAGTCACCTCATGGTCGTAGATTTGGTGTTCACAGTCTCTGTCTTTGAATAGTTCTACTCTTATTTTAGTATTTTCATTTTTAATTGTTAGTTTTTGACTCCTGCTTCTTCTATTGTTCCACTGATTTTGAGCATTAGTCTTTGTTGGATTATTTGAGTTATGGTTCCTGTTTGGTTTATGTGGAGTTTAGATTGTCTCACTGTTCAATATTTAGAACTAAATTCCTGGTTTTTATTTAGCCTCAGTTCCTATTTTAAGTTTTCTTCTTCTTCTGTGTTTAGTTCAGAGGTCACTGTATTTTAATTGCTACTGTGCGTTTTGTAGTTACCTGAATTAAAAAGGAAGTAAATGGTTGTATCATCTGTTGGGTTTCTTTCCAAAGTGAGCACTTTGCATAAAAGTAATTTCTACTTCCTCTTGTTTTTTCCTTTCTGACTTTCTCGTGCAGAGACTCAAGTAGGTGCACTGGCACTGATAGACACATCTAGGTTGCAGGGATGACCCCTTTGCCCACATTTGTCCTCATTTTGCTTTTTGATTAATCAAATCGATGTTGCATTTACCCATGGCTGACTGACAGCTTACCAATAGGCTGAGGGTGTAGTCAAATCATGGATGGCACCAAAGCTTGATTCAGGGATAAAGGGATGAAGAGAGGTTGGGGGTGGGTAATAAAGCCTCAAAATCATATCTATTTATTTTAAGTAAATGTCAGATAATTACATTAATGTATATTAATGATGATACTAAAAAAAATACTGAACAAGATTTTATCAATGCTTGGAGCTTACAAGAAGCAGCATTTATAAGTTTAAGTAAACAAAGAACATTTTTCATCCTTCCCTTCCAGTGGGCTGCTGTCATTCATGACACACTACCTAATAAAAGTGTGAATTTTATTACTATAAGGTGCCTGCAGCAGCAGCAGCACAAAAGTAGTGTTTCTCTGTGTAAAATACCAGCATAACAAGTTTAAATATCTCAAGTAACTTACTGTTTCGTAATAAAACTAAAACCTTTTCCTCTCCTGGGTGGTCTATCTTGAGTTGAGCTTTTGAACAACTTGCTTAAAACGCTTGTTTCCAAAATCTAACTGCATCAGTAATTTTCATCCACTACTCCTGACACACGTGTGGAGCTACCGAGTGCGAAGCTTATGGAGTCATTTGTTTACTTCTGGGTCGCACATCACCAGCTGCTAACGTGTCCTCCTTCAAAGCCAGATTGTGTTTTTGCCTCAAGCAGTGAAACTAGTTTGCTTCAGCTGGAACGATTTTCTTGCACACTTTTCAAAGCACTGTGTTTTGTTGGAAGTTGTTGAAATAGTTTCCTTTTCAATAAAGCTTCAGTGGAGGTTCATGTCTCATTGTTGCACGCACTAAGGAAAAGTAAATGCATGGTGTCGCCATATCATTGATATCATGGTATGGCACTCCGTCAGGCAAGAATTTACACCTGTATTATCGTGGATGATAGGCTATAGCACAGCCCAAGAGAGACCAAAGTTATTGTGGGTGAATCAAGGATAGAAATGTCAAGATGGGAACAGTTTGTTTTCTAGGTGTGACAGTGAGGTCAACACAAAACGTATTTTATGATCCACAAAGGTTTGCAGGTTTTGTAAAAGGTTATAGTTTCCCAATGTTCTCGCTTCCTGTCTTTGCCCTTTAACATCCTCACACACAGAAATAAGACCTGGCAAGGATCCACTGATAAACCACCATAAATAAGCTTTTATAGGAAATAACACGGGCCTATATGACGAGTCTGGCATTCATAATCAAAACCCGTATGAAGGTGACTGTGAATCCAGGCTAAATGTTGCCACAAATAAAAATCACTTGGCAACATACACTTTTCAATCACCGCTAAAAAACTACAAGTGTACTTGGACCTTGAAAAGGGTGCTCTGAAAACTTCATGTGGGCTTTTTATAAAAACTGGCAAGGGTTATGCTGGAATGGCAGAGTGCAGTTTTATTTATATTAAATGCTGTATGCTGTAAATGCTACTTTTTAAAAAGAAAAATGAGGCAGCAGAGTTTACTGAAGTTATATTTAAAACATAAATGTAACATAAATGTAACCACGATGGTGTTCGTGCCTTGTTAACATGTGCAATGCAATTACAGTGAATATGTAAAATGTTTTCTTTTTCTATATATATATTTTTTACTATTCTTCTCACCTTCTGCTGATGTTTATATTTTAATGCATCTAAAAAATTAGGATGCATCATTTCACTTTGCAGCATATAAAGACCATGAAGACCTCGCTCCAGCTACAAGAACAGCAGGAAGTCCTACAACAGATGGCACCCCCCCCCCAAACCCCAGCCCGAGTTTTGATCAGCATCATGGGATCATAGAGTTGGTGTGAGATTACGGTAAGTGATAGCCTTAATCCAAAATAAGTGTGGTATTTATACAGAGCTAAAACAGCTTAAAAGCAGGCGAGATGGAAATCAGTGTGCAAGATAAAACAGGAAGTGGCAGACAACATAGTCTGTGCAGAAACATTTATGTTTCACAGTATCCCAGTCTATTCATAAACAGAACGACAGAAAATCACATCCTTCTCTGTCACTAACAAAAGTAAAAGAGTTCAAATGGTCTGTGAAGAGGATTTGCCTTCCCAGTACATTTGTCCATGGTGCCAAACCATAATCATATAACTCCAGCGTCAGGTAAGGTAAGAGGTAGCAATTACACCTATTATATTAGGCCATGCCAACAAACAGGCTAATATGTTGGCCTTGTGGCCTTCATCAGAGCACTGCTACTCATCACCTTTGGGTATTTGACACAAAAGTAAACAGCTCTCTCTAAAGAGGCAATCAGGGAAATTAAGCAGTGGAATGCAAGACATTTTTTTAATTTCAAATGAAAAGGATTTTTGTATTCAGATTTGTAACAAGCCTCTTCTGTGGCAGATATTTTGACTTGTCCCAGTAGTGATGATTAATCATGGGAGGTTCTGCTTTTGTGTCTGATTTACTGGCTTCCTATGACACAGCACAAAGGAATACTGGCATTCATTCATAATTATTCTTATTCTTATTTATGATTGCGCATGCTGAAGATGTGGGAACTTCCAGTATTTGAAATGTGGCCAGTGTAGTGATATGGTCCAAGCTGTTTGTACATTTATGAACATAAAAGTAAGATGAAAAAGAAAGATATTTCAATAATTTTGGCTGTAACGTGTGTTTCCTTCCATTTTAATGTATAGAAATGATACCCCTCTGGCATTTAATCCTTTTTTTCTTGTTGATGTAAATTGGTTTTAAAAATACCTGCCAGTTAGAGCAGTTACCGGACCAGTTTATGTCTGACAATATTTTCACGGAACGGCCTTTAAGGTGTTGCGGATAAATACGACAAAATAAAACCAGCACTAGTACCAAAAAAAAGAAGATTTATTCATAACACATGGGAAAAGACCCAGGGAAACCGAGGTAATGATGAAAATGATAAAAAATTACACTAAAAACGATTTTTAAAAACCCCTGAAAACCAGAAATTTTAATCGATCCTCAACTCTTGGGGCCCGTTGTCAAGCAACTCACGGACCAGTAACGGTCTGTTCCCCTGGGGTTGGGGACCGCTGAGTTAGAGGACATGATGGGTCCCAGGGTATGCCCCAGGGATCCATATTAGCACCACCACTTTTCCATATATACATGATTTTCATGATCATTTATCAATTGCCGTATCCCTTTTTAAAAGGCAAATCCAACATCAATCTGATGGTAAAGCTTTAACATTTAATATTCCCAAGACCAAAAACTGCTCAAAGTGCTGAAATAATTACAACAAACTTTCAACATAAACTCATGAACTCAAAGTACAAAGCATGAAACTCTCGCAAGGATGAAACCAGGAACTTAATAACCAGGAGATTTAGGAGCTAAACATGAAAGAGAGAAAACACAGCATGTGGGTGGATCCCCACAAGAAGAAAACTAAGGAATAAACCAGGAATAAACTGAAACCGGGAACAGACTACATATGAAACCAGAACCAGGAATATAATGAAAACAAACCAATGACTGCAGATAAAGATACAAACTCAAACTACCGGGTCAACGACCCAGGAACCAATCACTGTGAGTGCTCTTTAAGTTTGCACTGTAATTAAGTTGAATGTGGCCTGAATGTTGTGTTCAGTAGTCTGTAATTGTGCAAGTATTTATTCCTTTAATTATTATTAAAGCAAGAATATAATAAAACTTTACAGACTGGTGTTAGGACCTCACCTAGTTGTGTATAATTCAAAGTCACTATTTATTTTCCATTTTTCTTGGCCAGGAATAAATGCGAAGAAGAACAGTGATGTTGGTATTTGTTTGTTTTAACAGTTGTTAAGGCCGAGCATCGATTATATGGAAATTAAGATTTGTTCAAGTGTTGTTAATTTGTTCTAAAACTTAACAGGACAGGACATTGTTAATGAAACCTGATCTATACTGTAATAAATCAACATATTGGTGGCGGAAAAGGTCTGAGACAGCAGTTATGGGTATTTGAAGATGGTGTAATAACACCACTGCTGGAGTTTTCATGCTTCCTGTTTAGAGAACAACAAATGATTGAAAAGCTAAATAAAAAGAGAAAACTCATTATGGCAGAAGCACGTGCTGTATGCATGTCTGTGGCAGAAATCTTGGAAATGAGTTTGTTTGTTCACGTGCAGCAGAGAAGCCAGTTATTACCTTCCTTTCATCTCCTCCTATTTTTTCAAGGCAGCAGACAAAATAAAGAACAAGTTGGCATTCAGCCTTCTGAACAAGAACGCATCCTTAGGGTTAGAAGTTACAGGAAATTGAGGTGTGAAAATGGGCCTTGATGATGACGGGCCGCACGTGAGCCATTACATGGATCTGTGACTCAAACTCGAGTGACATACGAGGACACCGCAATAAATAAGCTTTTATTTGTTTTCCTGATGCTCCTGCAACGTGCGTGCCACATCTTCCAGTTGCTTCACGATGGTAATAGCTTCTCTTTGCTCCATTGACGAAAACAGAATTCAGTTAATGAGATGCAGGAATTAAAAGTCAGCTGGGAAAACGCATTTAGCAGCTAAAATAGAGCAGATTCAGTTTATCTGCAGTGACATCAGTCACTGGGAACCCTCATTCATCCCACATCACTAATGCCATCGCTTTTTCTTCATAACTTGCACAGCTGTGTTTTTGCAGTCATTTATTGTAAATTAAATATATTAGAGAAGTATTCTTAAAAGCACCTTTAACTATGTTTCTGTCCACACAAACCTGCACACAAAATGCTCAGCATCAACCCCGGCACTCTTCCTTGTCCTCTTTCCTGGTTGTGCTTTGATAGCTAACAAATGGAACAATTATGTGCTTGACGGGTTTGATGTCACAAGTTTTGAACATCTGCAGCTCACGTGGCACATGCTCAGAGCCATTGTTGGTGAAAATGTTGTTGTTCATTTGATTTGCTTTGTGAATCGCTTTGGACACAACTGAAAAGGGGAATGCATCTTTTTTCAAGGATGCATCCTTCCCTTGAAAAAGGAAAAGCAAATTCAGTCAGTCTCAACAACTCTACATGATCCAGCTCCACAAACCAAGTGCACCAAATGATCTCCAAGCTACTCAGTGCCTCCCATGGGTTGCACAGAGAGAGAAAAAGCAGCAGTTAAGCAGAGGTAAGCAATGTTGCCTTGATGTCTTGCCAATGAGCAAGCTACATCACCACTGCCGAATATGCAGAGAGAGGTAAAATGTAGGCAAAGCAGTGCTACGCACCTGTTCTAAGTAATCAAAGACATGTCTCTGCTACTTCAGGGCTACCATCACCCACACAGTCCATATAAGTCAGCAATATGTCGCTGTGCTGTTCCTGATGGCACCATGATTTACTGACTACGTTTCTCTGTAATGCTGACATCGTGCCAATGGTTTTATGTCATTCTGCCACTAGAGCATAACCTCCTGTCCTTTTCCAAGGCAACATTTTTGGAAGATACATGCACACACGTGCTATTCATACTGAAGCGCCTCTCAGGTAGATGCAGTACACCACAATACCTGCTGTCTCTGCCATGGCCACTTAGCCTGGAGCTAGCCAAGGCCACAACAGCACGTCCTCACCTTTTACCATATTTTCACAATTGGGCTTCTGCAGAATCCTGGTGTGGCAGATAATGGCTCAGTGCAATATGCGGCTCCATACGCCTTAGCATGGGCTCTTTGCACTATTCCTTCAGAGTGCCAGAAAAGTAAGGATGCTTACCTTCTGAGCACAGCCAGACATCAGCCTTGGAAAAACACAGATGCTCAATTTAAAAGGAACTGCTGCCATGGCACTGCCACAGACACCTGCTTTAGAGTCGTCTCCTCCTTCTGAGTCGCAGAGAAAGAGCCCGAAGGAGATAAAGTTTCTTTCAGGAGACTCGCTGTGAGTGCTGTTGTAGCTCACTTGGTTGAGAAGGTAGTACGTATGCCAAAAGGCTGCAGTGCTCAAGGTTTTTCTCATTCTCCCTGCATGTGCTTTGTGTTCTTTCTACATTGTGAAGTTTAAAAAAAGAAAAGGTTGCATGTATCTGCAGTGGTCCTGGAGCTTTGTCCCCGTGTAACCGAGTTCTTTTGCATTTTGAATCCTTTTGTATCATCATTGTTTTTACCTTTTAATGAACACTACGTTGAGTTTTTATTCCTGTTTGTTTTCGTGATTATTCCAGGTTTCTTAAATGCATTTCAGAATTATAGTTATTGTTAGATATGGAATTTGGTTCCCTGTATTTTCCTTGAATTTCGGTTTACAGGCACTCCACAGTGGTTTCTTGCCTTTGTGGGGGATTTTTCTGCATTCTTTTATTTCTTGTTTTACGTGGTTGGTTTGTGCCTCGTCTGCCTTGTTCTGAGTTTTACATCCTGTCTATTGATTGCATTCATTCTGTACCTCTCCTTTGTTCTTTGTCAAAGCTTCTGCATACCACCTCTTTGTTCCTCCTTCGTTCTGCCTGTTGGATTTTTTTTGTTTTGCAGTTTGTTTCCTTCTGTATTTTTTTCTTTTTTGTACTTTGGGCTCCTGTATACAGTCGTAACATAACATTGTATTTTCTGTTTTTGCCTAATCTACTTCATGACAAATATTGCTTCATGTTAAAATCTCAACATGATACAAAAAATTAAGTACACTCCAACATTCCTGTAAAAGACATTTCCACCGATGATGTTGATAACAAATGCAACACATGCTTGATTAAGCTGACGTAGCAAATCTTTCCATTTTTAGTTCTGAATACATTTTTTTGCTGGTGTTGTTTACATGTTTTCCTGAGCTGTTCAGGCTGCTGTTATTGTTTTTCATTTGCTCTTCTCCATTTGTTCTCATTTACTGCACATGATTG